TTTAAAGGCATTTGTATCACCTAACTCATTATCATTTATCGTCTAATAGAAAGTGAGTATATTATGTATTACGTATTTTCATTTTTAGAATTTGTATTATATAAGACATTTCTGACCTCTTTTCCTCCTATATGATATTACATAATATTTGTGATTCTTCTTAACACAATGATTCTACTCCTCAGACTTTAAAACCTTAAGGCATTTTTCCTCCTACTAGTATCTGGCATTCGCAATCATTTGTTATTCAAAACCTTTCTATATCTCTCTCATTTTTTTATGGGATGAGTGAAAACCCCAAAGCTCTCACTTTAGCTTAGATTCAGTAAAAACATTTTTTTCAAAATTACTCAAAAAACTAAACTAAAAATTTCGTCCATTAATTTATAAAAGTCCAATAAAAATACTATAAAATATAAAAATAAAATAAAATAATGTTTTTTTCAATTATCTCGCCATCCAATGGTCCAATTTGAATGAAACATATATCATTATAATCCTTGAAATTTGACGGTTCTAATAGTTTAAATTACGTAAAATTCTGATTAGTCAACGTTGAGATAATGATGTCCGTATCTCTTATATTAAATTTGCATTCATTATCTTCTTTATCCAATTAAGATTCAGCATATGGTCAGGTGATTTTCAATGAACTTCGTATAACCAAAATAGTACACAAGTTTTTATTAAGTCAGAGATAATAAAAACTATCTGTTAGGCCTTTGTGTAATCTTTGTATAACCTAAAATTAACACTTCATCTTCTTTATCTCCTTTCTTAAGTTTCTTTTACTTTTCTCAATAGTTTTATCTCTTAGCAGGAATCACCAAATTGTCATCAGGTTTATTTTTATTTATCTTAACATCTAAGTTGAGTAACTGTGACAGTTAATTCTATATGTTGAAGTTTCTAACCTTAGGATTTTCTCTAAGTCCTATAGGTATCCGTTATACTTGAATTAACTCAGCAATTTATTACATCTTAGAATTTAAGATATATTTACTTGAACTTGTAGTAACGAATTCAATAGTAAGTTAGTGTAGTGTATTACAATAATTCTAAATGAAAGACAATATTAAAGAGAAAAGTAAGTTTGTATAGATTTAAATTGATTCCTTTATTTATAATACTGAAATTTGTAAGTAATTCACAAATATGTTAATTTATAACTTAAGCAAAAAGCTATTCTATTTATACAAAATTAATTTGATATAGCTAACTACTTGCTATGATATAAATTAACTAAATATAAATATATGTTTCATTAAAAATATACTTAAATATAATAAAATAATAAAAATAATATAAACTATAAAAATAATAAAAAGAAATAAAATAAATTACAGACATTAAAGAAATTACAGACAAAATAGAATAAACAGACTATACAGAAAATACAGAAGAAACAGACATAACAGGTGAAACAGAAATTATTGTTGATCACTGTTTGGCACAGCAGTAACATTGTCTAACATGAGATCATTATTGATTAACAAATTTCATGTAATATTTGGAGTTGTAATTTCTTTCATTAACAATGTAAATTTAATATTATAAAAAAATAATAATAATAATTTATGCTTACCTAAGTCAAATTGACTAGATTTTCAGTGAATTATTCATTCAATTTATTTACTAGATATTCAATAATCCATCTGGTTAATTTAATGATATAAATAAATCAATCCAAATTCAGTCAAATTTTAGATAAATGATTGGATATCCAGATTGATCAAATTCAGAGTAAACCTTTATCTTGTGAAAATACTTATAAGTATACTTATAGAAGTGCAGTCAAAAAGCACAAAAAATGTTATATCAAAAGATAGGCAGTTTATACAAAATATTTCATGGTGAATAACTTAACTACAAGATTTTTATAGTAAATAATCCTATTAGAATTTTATAGAAGAGATTCATGAAATATATTATAAAAATAAAAACTCTCAGTAGATGATAAAATGAAGAAAAAAATATGCTTTAATTTTACTTGATATTCTAACGAACTTGCAAAATGTATTGAAGAGTATAATTTATTTTTTCACAAATTGGTCTATCATATATATTATAAGAAGTATATATCAATTTTAGAAGAAATCAACCCAGTTTCATCTATATAAAAAAATGAATAATTATTGACCTACCTGCCTTACCTCATATATCAGAAATTGAAGTACTAAATAGCATTAATAATTTATGATATTTTTATTTTGAGAATATAACCAAGCTAGAGATATTAAAGTAAAATACTTAAATAGATTATATTATTAAGTATGCTAGTAGAAGTATGATAATTTCAGTTAAGAAACTTATAATATTATTTATATATTTTTTCTTGTGTAAAAAAATATACTAACTTCAATTTCTATATTCGATTTGATTACAAGGTAACCTCTTCTAATTTCTGATTATACAGCCTTATTTCAAAAATGCCTAGATATAACTAGAGATAAAAATCGCTAATCTGAATATATCAGTCACTTTTTAAATTCATACTTCATATATTACATATTTTTTTTCTAATCACAATTCATAAAATTGTAATAGTAATAGTCAAGTTTAATTTTACTTTTGAACTTGTATCTGGATTTGCATATATCTAAATCGATTTTTTTAATTAAACTAGTTTAAAGCTGGTAATCACTACTATAAATTTCTTATACGTAATATTTATTATATCTATAAAATGCAAGACAAAATTAACATTAAAGCTTTAGTATATATTCAAAAGTATGAAGGAAGATGCTTAGCTAAAGTTAGTTTTAATATATATTTATGAGCATATAAAAAAAATCATCAATAAGAAGTACTATATAAAAATATGAAATAGAATTATAGATAGTATAACATTTATTCCAATATATCAGAAAGAATATGTTGATATATTTTTGAAGATTTATTACATAAAAATTCCTACTTTAAAACTTAAATTCTTGAAAAGGTTTATCTAAATAAATACAATAAAGAGTTAGGTTTGACCTTCAAATACAGTGATAATCAATATTACCAAATTGTACCTTTTTTTCATCTGCAAAAACAGATGAATTTAAATGTATAAATCTGACATAACTGAAAAAAGAAGGTATTATATTATAAGGAAGAAGTAATCCTTATCACAATTATCTATTGCATTATTAATTTAAAGATCTTTATAAAATGTGTTCTACATTCATTTAACTTTCTTCTGATAAGAACCATCTAAATAATAGCATAGGTTCCTCCTTAATATGTATTAATTATTTTCTCACAAAGAGACTTTGAGGTTCTGAATCATTTAAATAATATAAAATAGGCATCAGAGATTCTTTTTAACAATAATTTTTCGAATCTTATGAAAACTAGGTAATCATATAAGGTTTGTTATTCTATATTATTTAAAAAGATCATTTTTTCATTCTCTAGATGCAAGTAAAAATTAGACAGTAGTATCCTTTTGTAATTATAGTTAATTAGCACCTATTAGGTGATTATATTTTACTAATAGTTTAGAATATATTTGCTTAAATTTTGTGATATCATCAGAATTCATTCTAATTAGCCAGGTTAAAGTATTATTCATATTATTAACAATTCTCCTTGTAAATCATTCACATTCTCTATAGCATTTGCCAGTAGGTAAAAAAAACTCTACTAAATACTGATTTTTAAAAATCTTAAATTTAAATAATCCAGTATAATGATTGATTATAGCTATACTTATATGTCTAAAATGTGTCTTAATTCTTCAAATATTAATATTATATTTATTTATTATCAATGTTACACTTTTCATAAACTTACAACTTTCATCATATTGTAATAGTTAAAGTCAGTTAAAGGGATTATTAGGATTATTATATATGCTCTTAAATGCTTTTGCAACTTTTTCACTACTTTTTAATGTTAAAAAATAAAATCTTCATTTGTATTATAAATAATAAAATAAATTTAATTAATTAAAAAAATTAATTAATTAATCTTTTTTAAATACTAAAAAAACATAGATTCTTAAAGATACTTTTTCTAAAATAAAAAGATATTTATATACATCTTAAATTAGATTATCTTATTAAAAAGATAGTAGTATTTCTTTTTCTTCATTTTTAAAATGTATTTATAATACAAAATCAAAGTTATCTTATTGAAAAAATGATATTCCTTTTATAAACTAATTACTTTTAATACTATTATTAATATAAAATGTTTGCCTGCTAAATTTAACATAATATATCCTCTTTATCCTAATAATTGTGATTTATATAATAGTCTTTTATTATAAATGGTACTATATATAATAGTATACTAATATGTAGATATAGTTTTATTAGGAATGCTTTATATAATTAGAATATAGGTATAGATATTGTGAAAATTATTATAAAGAAAAAATTAAAACAAATATTAAAACTTTTTTTGTAATAATTAAAAAAAGATTTTATAATATTCACTAAAAAGAATAAATAGTTAGAAAAAATTTAGAAAAAACACAAGAAGAGAAAGATAGAATAAAAGAAGTAAATAAAGATATATTGATAGGATTAGCTATGAAAAAAAAGTTAGCAAATATTTGTAATTGATAATGCAAAAAAAGCATAAATTATTATTATAATATATCTTATTATATATAATTTTATATAATATTGAATTGTTATAAAGTGCTTATAAAAATAACTTGATCAGATTTGATCATTAAAAGTTAATAAAAGTTATTTTAACATTTATAAAATTTCAAATAGTCAAGTTTAGTAAAAAAATCACTAAATACTATATAATATTTAATTGATTTATATAGACGTAATATAAAAAATGATCATTATAATACTTCACTTTTTAGGAAATTCCGCTATGCTTCTGAATGAGCATCCTTAACCTAAGGTGAAGGTATAGACTTTTATCCTAAACTAGGATATACAATTAAGCTTTGATGAATTTCATTAGCCTGATTTATTTGTATAACATATAACTTAGAATTTTCTTAATATTTTCAAAGAAAATAGAATGAAGAAATACTCAACTTAAAAATGAATTTTGCAGTATTTAGTGCAATGTTTAAAGGAAAAGTATGAAGAAAAATATTTTTAAGTATCATTTGTTTAGCAATAACTGGATGTATTCTACAGAAAGAAACTAGAATATTATATAGAATTCTGCTACATCTTTGTATGTTACCAGTATATTGATATTTGTATCATAGATTCGTTGTTGAATGATATCATAATTTATGTAATTTTAAGAACAAATTTGTTATATTTATTTTTGTCATTATTATATGACCAATGTCTTTAGCCATCAAAAAATATTCATAAACTAAATAATTTTAAAATAAATTAAATGCAAAGGTTCAAATATTAGAATTATAAAAATTATATCCCTAAATGTAAATGCGTTACATTTCCTATTAATATATAACAATAAATATTAACTAATAAATACAAAATCATTCGTCAATTCAAATTTATTAACTTTCTTTTGATCAACTGTTAGTTATGAGAAATCTTGACATTATTAAAATGATGATAAGTGTATTTGACATTGTGATCACAGCATATGATTACATTTCATGGATTTCTCAATAGCAATTTCGCATTATAGACATTTTTGAGTGGTTGATTTCTTTCATTTATCAATTTCTATTTCTTAGTATATTCTTCGTTTTCTTCATTCTATAACTAAGGTTTGGTTTCTACATTAGCTCCCAAATATTCTTGAATGATTTTTTTAATATTGTTTATCACATATGGCACATCAATTCTATACTTATTTATAATTACAAGTAAAAAAAAATCAATGACTAAATAATTATTTATATATATTATTTAAATACATAAAACAATGTATCAAGTTTGTTGACAGAACCAACAAAAGCCAATATACAATTTGTACTAACACATAATTTCTCAACAGATAAATCTTTTTTCACAGGTGTCTGACACACTTTACAAGGATAAGAAGTCACCATCTCTTTTTATTTTTCTAATAGATCGATGTATCTTTGTGATATTCAGAACCTATTTCTGACATTTTCTTTTTTAGTTAATTTATTTTGTAACTCGCAACCAGGATCAGAATATTTGACTTGCAATACAGATCTTTCTTGAATTAGAATTTCAAAATATTCACGAAGCTATAATCATAATGGTATCATCAGCGTCAATATCAATAGAAAATGGCTTTGAGAGGATCCGTAAATAAGGCAAAAAATGTTATGATCACGCATTTTTTGACTGAAACTAGAACTGATATGACAGATATTTAGCAAGAGATTTATTTAGCAAGAGACAACTGTTTTTTTTAATTATTACAAATTCTTACATTCTTTCAAGACCTCCTTTTTTTTTAAGCTCTAAGTTTTCCTTATTGCTCTTCATTTTGGAAAGATACATGCTGGGAAAAGGTCATCTTGCTGTGTTATATAAAAAATTTTCTAAATTTTGAGTAATTTTAATTATTAAGCTAGTTTTGTTCACATGACCATGATCGACAGAGTGAACCAATAAAAAAATTTTGTGGATTTCCCATTTTTTAATAAATTTTATTCGTTGAATCATTACCAATAAACTCTTTAGATCTTAATTTTTCGCGTTTTGTTAGTCGCCTTTTCTTAATTAAGATCCCCCCTTTCCTATAAGTAGTTTTTTGCTCTACACTATACTGTCTAAAAAGTTTTGAATGACTACAATCACTGGAGGAGGCCTAACACGGAATGTGGAATACGTAGGATATTTTTTTCTTCGAAGAAATTCAAGACGCGTCAACGCACCACTTGAAGGTGGAAACTTTGGTGAAAAACAGAGCAAAAGAACAAGAGAAGAGAGAAGATCATAAAATATTGTCAATGACACCTTTAAAGCCAAGCTAGTCAACTGATTCAAATTGAACGTTTCAAAGCACAGTTAGATGATTAACCGAACGATTTAAGGTTAGTGTACTTTTACATTTTGGTAAAGTAAAAATATTAATGAACATATAGCGAGTGTGCTACGCCCTGTCCCAGCGAGCATGGGGAAGAAGAGCGTCCAGACTTGTGAGCCTTTGTCTCCCTCTGCGACGTGCACATCTTGATATAAGGTTCTTGATATGAGGTTATTAAGGTCTACTGATTCTGGTAGAGGAATCGGCTATACATCTTATTCACACTTTACTTTATATAGATATTGCAAGTTCCTTCCTTATCCAAGCAGGAAATGGTAGTGATGTAGTTCCAGGATCAACCGCTACTGCAAGAATTAGGATTACCCGCTGACCTTTTCGGTTCTGATCAATTATGTAAAAATCAAAGAGTTCACTACCCTTCCATGCTTTCTAAACTTACTAAACATATCGTAAGTAACTTATCAGATTGGAAGGAATTTTTGTCGACTGATCCTGCTGAAACTTGTGTCCCTGTATGTTGGGATAGTGGATCACCTGGTAAGAATAAAAAAAAGGGATAATATTTTTTATTATAGTTTCTCGTCATATTCTTAATTTTTTTTTTTTTTTTTTATTGTATTAGCTTCTGTCGTACAATTACGAAAGATTTTGCTTGTTAAATGTTTCAGACCAGATGATTAATTTCTGCTGACTCAAAACGAATCATTATATTTCATGCTTGCGTGGTTACATGCTACTGTTCAGGAACGCTTCGTTATTGTCCTCTTGGTTGGACCAAGATCTACGAATTTAATGAATCAGATCAAAGATTTTGCAATATACACAATTGATACTTGGTTGGACTCTGTCGCTCAGGCAGAACTAATATTTTTCCTAATTAATTCCCTTGGGAAGCTGTGCGTTCATTTATTACTATTCTGGTTATGGTGGTCGTTTTGATAACGAATTTGATAAGCGTCTATTGGAATGTTTAGTTAACAGCTTATCTGCCTATGATCTTGAATATACATACACTTGTCGATGTTGAAGGCTCTGACAACTTGATTACACCCGAAGGTATTAAGTTAGATCATTTCATGAACTGGGTTAATAAACTTCCCGAAAGATAGCCACCTGTTTGGAATTATGAAGCGATACAACAATCCAATCAAGATTTTTTACAATTGCTCTTCACTCTAGGTTATGCAATGCTTTCTTAACTTCGTTAGATGAAAAGTTTGTCCGATGATGATGAAGTTGCATATACACAAGAATCAAGTTCTGAATCATCAGCTCAATTAGCCTGGATGCGTGATTTTTACAGTAGTGTTGAAAATTGGATGAAGTTGTTACCAGGAGTAAGCATTCTTTTTCATTAGAATTATGAATTCCTTTTATAAAATCAATACTAAAATTGTTTTATCATTTTTAGAAATTAACTTCCATGAATCGTACTGAGACAGTATCAAAAAATCCATTGTTCAGATTTTTCGATCGTGAAATCAAATAGGTCGCGCGCTTCTCAAGAAAATACGTCAAGACTTAGCAGACATCAAGAAAGTTTGCCATGGTGAACTTAAGCAAACTAATCATTT